GTAAGATCTAGATCATACCCTAATAAAGGTGTTGTTTTTTTAAAAAACCATGTACAGACACATATGCTTTCCATTACAGTATTGCCATTTACAAAATATGTAAGCACAGGATACCAGCTATAAGCAAAACACAAGAGCAACTAAAGATAAAAAATATACCTAGAAATAAGCTTGAAAAAATGTTTCCAGGAACCAGCTCAAAGCAAATTCCCAAACTTTACTGTGGGACACAAATGAGTTGACTAATTAGAGACATTAAATGTATCTCCCCTACATGAATCTGTGCACATAAGAGAACTTTAAGGAGACTTGTCATAAAATAATTCTGAAGTTCAGCTACATTAACAAAAGGGCCAAGATAGCTCAGCGAACTAAAGCACCTGCTTAGGAAGAGCGCAGAGAGTGGGGTTCGATCCCCAGCACCACAAGCCCTGCAGGCCCCAGCACTAGGCACGCTGAGACAGGCGCTGAGACTGGGCATGGTGGCACCTGTAATCCCAGCACTTGGGAAGCTAAAAACAAGAGGTTCACTACGGGTTTGATCTACGTAGTGAGACCCTGTAGACCCCGTACTAAATACATTTTAGAAAGGTGGGGGCGGGGGAGGGTGCTGGTGAGATGGCTCAGGGGTCTAAAGCACCTACTTAGAACAAGCTTAGCAAAGCACAGGAACTGCAGTTCAATCCCCCAGCACCACATGCCAGCCAGCCCCGCCCCCTGGTGGGCTGAGCTGGCCACACACACACACACAAATAAATAAAATTTTTAAAAAAGAAAGAAAGGGGGGGACACACAACAGCAAAGAAAACAAGAGGGTCAGAAGTGCAAGCAGGGGCCAGGGACATGGCTCAGCAGAATAAGCACTTGCCTGGCAAGCGCAAGGGCCTGAGTTCAACCCCTCATTGGGGGGGGCGGGGGGAAACAGAAGCACAAGCAGCTAACAAAACAAAATGACAGGGCCAGCCATATAGCTTATCAGATTACAGTGCCTCATCAGGCAGACTCAGGGACCAGGGCTGGATCCCCAGCACGCCCACCCGCTGGTGCACTGAGACCACAATTGAAACTGGGTGTGGTACAGCATGCCTGTAATCCCAGCAATAGGGAGTCTGCTCTGTGAAGTGATACCCTGTAGACCCTGTACTAAATACATTAAAAAATAATAATAAATAAAATGACAGAGAAAGCAAAGCACACAGAGTCTAATAAAGCAATAAAGTCTAAAAACCAAACCTTATTTCAGTATTGATTGTATTTATATTTATTTCCATTTATTTATTTTTAATATATTTAGTACAGGGCCATCTCACTACACATATCAAACTTGTAGTAATTCTCCTGTTTTCAGCCTCCCAAGTGCTGGGATTACAGACATGTGCCACCACACCCAGTCTCAACTGCGGTCTCAGCACACTCCAGGGGCGGGGCCAGCACAGCATGCCGGGGATCGGACTGGTCCCTCTGCCTCAAAAAGACACTTTAATCTGCTGAGCTATCTGGCCAGCCCTTTAATATTTATTTTAGAAACAGGGTCTCACTGTGCAGTTTAGGCTGGCCTCCAAATCACAGCAATCTTCCTGCCTTAGCCTCCCAAGCACTGAGACTACAGGCATGTGCCACCACACCCAAACTTATGAGTATTAAATGCAGACTGAAAATAATATTTTAGACAGAGGGAGGAGCTGCAAGATCATTCAATGATTGAGGCTCACAGAACCCTTAAGGAAAAACTAACCTTCTTAAGCACACTGCCAAAGGCCAAACACAGAGGAAGAGACTGACAGTTCCGACAAGCCAATATTTTTAAATTTAAGTACACGACATACATTATACACAGTATCAGAAAACATGCAATATGCATGACACAGGACAAAGGACAGCATCATGACCACCACGTCCTTTTCTTAAAAGGGACCTACCTGCCAGAAGCTGAAGAATGACAATGACTGAGCACCATGGGCAGGGCCCAACAGACAGGTTCCGTTAAAAACAAAGGGCCAAGGGTCTCACCTGCACCATGAAAGCAGCACCTCTCACCCCTTGAGCAATGACCCAAGAACACCCACCAAGAGATGAGGCCTAGAGCACCCCTGCCATGCTGCCCTCAGCACAGCCAGCCCTTCAACCTAGTGTTAGCCACTACTTCTGTTACAGCTTATGTTGAGATGTCCCCCAAAGCCTCATGTGGGCCATAGATGGGGCTTCTTCAGGGGTGGCTGGATCTAAAGTGGGCTGCTGGGGTTGATTCATGGTGCAATGCTAGGATCAAGAACAGTAGGATAGGGGCTGGTGAGATTGCTCAGTGGTCTAAAGCACCTACTTAGAACAAGCTTAGCAAAGCACAGGGATCGCGGTTCAATTCCCCAGCACCACATGCCAGCCA